CCATATACCAAGGGTGGTGGGTTTAAACCTGGCCCTGGTCAAACTGCAACAAAAAAATAGCCGGGCATTGTGGCAGGGGCCTGTGGTCCCAGCTACTCAGGAGGCTAAGGCAAGAGAATTACCTAAACCCAGGAGTTTGAGGTTGCTGTGAGCTATGATGCCACAGCATTCTACCAAGGGCAACATAATAAATAAGACTCAGTCTCAAAAAAAGTGAAAAATAATTTATAAAAAAAAACTTAAGACAAATTAAGGAAGACATGAGTAAAATTTAATACCTGATTAGGAAATCAAAACTACATTCACATTTCTGCCTTTAGAAGACTAGATAAATGGTCTTATTTCCCAAAAGGGAAAATTTGGAGTGAAGGAAAGAAAAATTCAGTTTCAGACATAATGTCCTACTACCACACCAAGCTCAAAGAGTAGAGATACTTCACAGGGAACTAAAGCAGATACTGAGCTTAACTGAAAAAGTTTTTTTCTTTTATTCTTTTTTTTTCTAAGACAGAGCCTCAAGCTATTGCCCTGGGTAGAGTGCTATGATACCACAGCACTCTATCCCAGTGCAACTCAGTGAAACTCTGTCTCAAAGGAAAAAAAAAATTAAAAAGTCTTTGCAATGAATATATCCGTTGACTCTACAATTATACGTTTAGTAATTTATCCAAGGGAAAGAATTAAGGATTCATTCAATATTCAAATACTTAAGCACCTACTATTTCCCAGGCATTGTTCTAGGAACTGCTCAAAATGGACGAAGGTCCTATTCTTATAGATTTAACATTCTAATAAAGGAAGATGGCATATAAAATATAATCATAATAAATAAGTAAATTATATAATATGTTAGAAGGAGTATGTGCTGTGGAGAAAAGAAAGAGAACTGATGAAAGGAATAAAATAACAGAAAGACAGACGGAAGACCACTGCAATTAAAGAAGGTGATCAGGAAAGTGTTATTGAGAAGGTAACAGACAAGAATTGAATGAGGGAAGGAAACGCATCTAGGACTATCTACAGGAAGAGTACTCCAGCAGAAGGACCCTAGCTTGATTATATGGTAGGCATTAGAAGGGAGTAGCAAGCAAGAAGCATAATAGAAACAAAGTCAGAGAAGTATAATGCAGAGCTGCCAAGGCCTGTAGGTAACTGCAAGAACTAAGGCTTTTACTCTCAGTGAAATGGTGAGATGTGGGAGGTTTGAGCAAAAGAATGATACAATCCAACTTTTCAAACCTTAGACATGTAAGGACAAGGATGAAAAGAAAGATACCAGTTAGAAGGCAACTATGTAATCTAGGTGATATGGATGGTACCTGAGACTAGGTGATAGCAACAAAAGTGGTGAGAAATGATCTTTTTGTAGATAAATACTAAAGACAGGATCAACGGGATTTTTCTGACAGATTAAATGAAAACAATCAATTTAATTTGGGGGCTGAGCAATAATTAATTCCAATGGGGAAAACCATATGCAATACAGAATTTAGTGAACAGATCAGCATTCCCATTTTAGACATCTTAGTGGAGACATCTCATGGGCAGCTGAAGGACCAAACTGGAATTCAAGAGGTAAATATGGCACTATTTTCTTTTT